TGCTCTTCCGATCTCCCCAAAACCCCAAAACCCCAGGAAAAACTATTCAAGAAATTAATGTAAAATTGTTAAGTTCACTATTTCAGTTTAATTTAGGATTCTTAATATATTTTATTTGCTCTATTTTTAAAGTCTCCTTCTCTTAGAACTTTAAATTATCTTTTATCAATCGTTTCATTAGTAATTTAGTGTATATCCTCCTTGGTAAATCAGGAGTTTTAGCCTGGTAGCTGCTAATTTCTTTCTTATTTAAATGAAGCAGAATTGAATCGCGCCTTCTGTCAGTTAAGATTTGATTTTCAAGATTTTGATTCATATCTAGAATATTTGGTGTCCGAGCAGAATGGATGCTGTGCAATTAGACATAATTTTGAAATTTAGAATTTTCAAATTGTTATGGATTTATTGTCTAACGGTAGGAATCTAAATCTTAAACAGGTTTACCACTGTAATGATAATATATGTTATCATTTCTATACAGTTAAGGAGTGCTTTTACCATTGAAAGACTTCTTTAAGCTTCTTTAGATAAACTTATTACTAAACTGATTTTAATTATATCTTTGTTGATATAGATCTTTTTCAAAATGATGAATCCTATCAAATTTTAACTATTAATCGTCTTGGAAGCTATCTGGATCAAATGTTCTCTGCTGTTATTTTACAAAATTTAAATGGTTGACAAGATATTGTTGATCTCTGAACTAATTATTTTAATCTTCCAATTCCAGTTCTTCATGGTTATGATTATTCAAGTTACTCTATGATTAAGCATTAGACTCTCTTAAGAGCATTGTCAATTGAGGTGTATTTATTTTAGTATTTTAGAAGTACGATCTTTAAGATAACTGTCAGGACAGCTCCTAATTATATATAATTCTAGATGGAGTTGAATTTTAATAAGTTGACTTCTAGTCTGGAACAACTGAGGTGTTCCCAGATATTTTTAATGGAAATGTATTATTGTTACTCAGATACACTTTAATTTTTGTAGGTTAAATTTCTTCATCTTTGATTGAACTCGAACTATTAGTGTAGGTATCCAGCTTTCTTTAGTTGATCTCAAACAGAGTTAACCTAGAACCATTATTTACAGATTCTTTTGGCATGATTGAAGTTTTTCTATGAAAATTTTGAAATTTGAGCTTCTGCTCTTGTTATTGGTTAAACATTTTTTAATTTTCATCTTTTATCCAAGCTTCTAAGGATTTATTTTTATCATCATTTTCAATATATGGAAGCTTTTTTGGAGATTTTGATTTTTTCTATGGACTTTATTTCGACTTTTTTTTCTTGTAATTCTGATTTTCATTCTATTTGTATTTTGCTGACTATCTGTTATTGTCTCCCTAAATATAACTTGATTAATGTTTCATAGTAGATAGGCTACTCAACTTATCATTTTCATTATTCATTACTCAATGAGTTTTAATAACTCCCATTGTTTTAACTTTCTTTATTTTCTTTTGTACTTATGCTAAATTAATATTTTAAATTTGTAAGTCATTAATGTTATCCTTTGCTTGAAGAGTCTTCGATGTGTCTAGTATTATGTTATTATTTTTCTATATTCATATGCCTTTAGATTTGGCATTGATACTTTTTTGCAACTCCGCATCTAATTACTCTTCTATTATTGATTGTTTCTGAACATAAATGTCAAAGTCTATAGCAGATTACCTATCTGAATCTTCTTTATCTTTGAAAGATAAAACATCATTGAATTATTTCGATCTGTTGGTTTCTTATTATTTTAAAGGAACTTATGAAGATACCTTTTTTAAGAAAGTCTGATTTGTATAAGCCTCAAGCTGATCTGAATTTTAGATCTATTCTTTATCAATAAGCTTTTTATCTTTAGGCTTCCTTTTTTGCATTGCAGATTTAGATTGCTTTTTAGAACTTACTATCTATGCACTTCTAGTTGACTTTACATTTTGAGAATCTAACTTTGAGAACTTCAATTATTCCTGAGCATCATACCTAATGTCATTTCCATTCTTCGTTTATAGTACAAGAGATTCATTTAAAAAACTTATTTCTCCAGGAGATTTACTCAACTACAAATATTTCTCTTGATTTTGAAGGATTTCATTGAGTTTGATAGTAGATTAATCCAATTTTTAGAGAGATGCTCGTTTTAATTGCATTGAATTCATTTTCCTAAAAGAAATTATAATTCAACTCTAATTATACTTTGATTTTAGCAAATTTTACTACGATTTAATTTTTCAAATCATTCTCATTGGGGTTTTGGGGTTTTGGGGTTTTGGGG